TCCTGCTGACCCAGAGTTCTAGCCTCTGACCACTCCAGAGCCGCTCTATAAATGTGATGCTAGTAGACACCACTGGATACTAACTACGAGTGTCCCAAATGGCAAAGAAAGGATGACCCAGGTGTAGAATCGGACTACCACGGAAATCAAAGGGAGAAGCAGGGAAGGTCTAACTCAATCTATTAAAAGAAGATGAGAGCCTGGACCTGCGTTTCCTTTATGCAATGTGTTCTAGCAAATCAGCTCAATCCATGTTGTAAATGCCCCCGGCTGGGTGGAACCCGCCTGCTCGCTCCACGAAGTGCACTTGCCTCTTCACTTCCTTGCTATCCAAGTATTTCAGACCTTCGGCTGCTCACAAACCTGCTGCCACAACGTGTTTAGTTTTTAAAATGGATAAGATGCCAGGAGGCAGGGGGGCTCTGCTGAGGCAGCAGGGGCAGAAATTTTTATTTTGAAGCCAGTCTCCCTTGCCGCCCCAGAGCTGTGAACAGCTTTTTCTCATCCCTGGCCTTGACTGATGGCTTTTAGAATAAGACTCTTCACACTTCCCGCGCACATAATTTCAGGGTCACTGAGTCCCCTCATCAGCCCAGCGTGCTCACAGGCCAGGCATGCGTTCCAGTGACATCAAATCACAAAAGCGAACTTAAGCTGCTTTTCTTATCAAGGGAATCCTCCAAATAGAATGAAAGTCTTAATTTAAGCTTCCTTGGAAGCCATCACTTCCCCCTGAACCCTTACAGCTTCCTTGTGAGGGAAGAGGCAAACCTTTAATCCTCTGTGTCCTGACTGCTAAAAGGGGACCCACCGTGACACCCACAATCCACGCGGCAGCCCAGAGCCCAGACCCACGCTCTGAAGCCCCACAACCCAGGCTCGCATTTTCCTGTAAAAATGAGGAAAGACAGAACTTCCTCGGAGCCCATCTGTTGGCATGTTTTCTCCATCCTACCATAATCGGCTCCTTCCCGCTCTTGTCTTCCCCACCTGGCCTGGCGATGTCCATGTACACACGATTTCCAGCCTGGGAAACGGCACCAGGAGGCCATCCAGAACACGAGGTTTGCCCTCCTCCCACCGCCTCTCACTGCCCCCGTCCTTTCACTAAACTTCGGGGGATGAACAGACGAGGATGATGGGAGCTCTGGACACTGGCTTCCTTTCTCAGGGACCAGCTTGTGGAGTGTGCACCCCTTCTGATCTCCCACAGCTCCCAGACCTGCACTGGTTACCTTCCCTCTGCCCTCACCTCCGAC